AAGCCTTCACATAATCTCCTTCCCTTTCACACGTTTAGATTGAAGATATAACGATTGGAAATTTTATTTTATTGTAATAGTCCTCTTTCGGAACCTCCTTCAGCTCATATGTTACATTCGCTTGAATGGTTGATATATCCTCAAAAAACTGTCCTGTTAAAGGCATTTTTATTTTGGGGAACAAAAAGAATTCTGCGAGATCGGAAGAATATGAAGGATGATTTACCACTGTGACCTGGCGTTTGGTGACACAATTAAGACACAGAATGAGCTGATGCATTGTCGTGAAGGAGTATCCAATTCTCAGAAGCGATGATATCTCGTCTGACATGTCTCATTCGATTTAGAAAACGTTTTAAAATCTCTAAATATCGAATTAATCGGTTTGGCCAAGTGGCACAAATTCATGATGAATCAATCCTGCAGAATCAAAAATGCGATGATCATCTTCATTTTTTATTTCTGTTGAACTTTCATTGGTCTCGCTTCATTAAGGATTACCCATGCAAACGACTGTCTCTTTGTTTGTGAATAGTATATGAAATACCATGTCTCATCATCAGTAACGATAGCTTTTATAAAATCTGGATCCTTGTCTGTCATTTCAACAAAATCACGACAACAACATTCACACGCATTTCTTTCTGTTCTGGAGTTAAAAAATATGGAACAAAGCGCGCACAAATTTTTCTACGGTTCAAACCATGAATGATAGAAATAGTGTCTTCACCAATTTTTAACTGTTCAGATATTGCACGAAGTGTCAGACGAGGATCCTCGGTTAGTAAAGAACGCAGCTTCCTCATTTTGAGCTGTTGACGGTCGACCACTTCTCATCATCTAGTGCCAACTTCCTTAAAACGTTTAAACCAGTCGAATGTTATTGTGCGTGACGGTGCATCCTCTCCGAACGCTGTTTTCATCATTTTGTGAGTTTCCGTTGCAGTTTTGTCAAATTTGAAATAAAACTTGATACACACTCGTAAAATATGAATGGAACGCTTAAACACATAAATCAAAACGTCCTCACTTGCCAAGTATTCAATCGATATTATTATAATTTGCACATGTTCTGCATGAAGCTTTTTAGAAATAATTTGTCTCATAAGAAAAAAATCAGTTCGGGAACTGTTCGGACATACTGTGTGTGTGTGTGTGTGTGCGTGTGCGTGTGCGTGTGCGTGTGCGTGTGCGTGTGCGTGTGCGTGTGCGTGTGTGTGTGTGTATAGATATATAATATATACAGAGAACAAAATAGTTTTATATGATTTTGTATTTGCTGTAGTTTTCGAATTAAAAAAGGAAATGTCTAAGCCAATGTGCGGTGAAACTGTGTCGCGAGAATTTTTACCGCCGCCGTTGTCGAGTGAGGCGCGATGAGCCGAATTACGAATTCTTTTGCTTCATCGTGCTATATGTATATATATATCGAAATCAATTTTACACCAAGAATTGTAACAAATTCAGTTTTTTTTCTATCTGATTGATTCACGTGATCATTTTTATATATATATAAAAGAAAAGTTCATATTTTACGATGATTATCATGATATTTACGAAAAAAATTTACTCTACCCTGTGGAATGCGTCAAACTATGCAAATTTCTTAAAAAAAACACGTTTTTATTTTTAAAAAATGCCAGATAAGGGTAAGGATAGATTCAAAATCTATGAAATACAGACTTTACTATTAAAAATGAAAAAAAAACTTTTAAATACGATTTTTCGCGGAGTTACACTTATTTGAATTTATGCGAAATTTTGATATAAATTTTTGTTGCAAGTGTATATATGCTACAGGGTGTTCGGAAAATCGCCTGCAATACTTTGGGAAGTGATTCGGGACTCAAAAAGTTTTTTTCCTTCTTTTTGGGTCCCGAATCACTTCCCGAAGTATTGTGAGCAATTTTCCGGATACATCCTGTATAAAAATATTAATCGCAATCGCACGACAAAGTTACATCACACTCATGAGTGCAGTCGCAATATATAATATATACGTATGTCTGTAGATACTGGTAGTGTTTTGACGCTAAGCTATGGCGCGAGACATAGACGTATATAGACACGTACATCCTTTACGCGAATCGACGAGTTGCATCAGATCGAGGTTATTGGAACTCAATAAGGGCTGAACCGATCAACTTCTATTAAATTGACAAGGAAAAAAGAATTTTTTAATCGACCTCTCAGTTAGCTTCCGTTTCATGACAAACATCCCTTTTTTAAAAAAAATATTAAGATTTAGAAATCGCTAGTGAACAATTTTTAAAAATCAAAGTTTCGATTTTCCTTAATATTCGATGCAAAAATGGCTTAATCCGGATTTTAAATGTGATACTATATATTTTTTTGATTGCTGATAATTTATTTAACTTTATGATATATGCCTCAAGAAATAGCCCGATTAATGTGAAAAAATGACCAAATTTCGAATTTAAGGTCGATTTTAGCAAGTTTTCAAACATTCAAATGGATAGTTATTCTTCTCAAATTATAAATCCAGAACAAGATCCAATTGTAATTTTCCCGATTTCCTACAGAGAGTAACCCTCCTACAGGATCTTTAAAAGTTGTATTAGGTGAGGGAAAAAGTTCGTGGCGTTTTTTAAATGCCATCTAATTGGAAAAAATACCTAATATTTAACTTTATAAAACATTTTTAAAGATAAAAAAAATTTTTTTACTAGTTCTAAAATATCGTTTTGTGGTTTTAACATCTTCAAATTGATATTAAAAAACTTTTTATTAAAAAATGAAATAAGTAGATAATACAAAAAAAGATGATTTAATTAAATAAAATAAATTACATATATAAAAAAACAAGAAAGGAATAAAGATAAAAGCAGGAATGGAATCATAATTCCAATGGAATCATAATTCCAATGATCAAAAATGTCCATAGGCATGAAGCTTGAAAATGACAATTTCTTTTGTTATAATCGTTTAAAGTTTTATTTTATTAATGCCTCAAAATAGAGAACTTTTCGACTCAGTTTAGTTCGCTTTATCTGCCCATGAAATATTT